CAGCACCCACATGGTGCCTAACAACCATCTGTAACTCTAGTTCTAGGAGATCCAGTGCTCTTTTCTGACCTCCACAGCCATTGCATGACACAGGTGCACTTACATACATGCAGGCAATACACTCATACACATAAAATAAAAATAATAAAATATTAAAGAAACATTGTCATGAAATTGAAATGCTTTTGTAAATATTGGACTTCCATTTGTTTTTCTCTGTTGGTAATCTTGGTATTTCTTATGACTTTAAAGGTTTTAGGATTTATGTTTAGACTTTGACCATTTTGAATTCATTTTTCTGTGTGGTGTAAGGTAAGAGTCCAATTTTAAACATTTTACATTTGGATATCTAACTTTCAAAAACAAGCTTTCAAAAAATTGCCTCAAATTGAATTTTTTCTCTCTATTCCTCTTTTTAAAATTAACCTTTTGGATTAACATACGAAGTACTGGGTTTCATTATGGCATCTCATACATCTATGCCATCATACTTGGTCCCCCCCCCCGCCATGGCCCTGCTGTGTCTCCCTGACCCCCATCCTCTCTGGCCCTGTGCTTTTTGCTTTCTTACCACATGGACCCCATTACACGCTTTCTCCCTCTTTCTCTTTTTCCTCTTGCATCATCCCCCTTCTAGTTTTATCACACACACACACACACACACACACACACACACACACACACACACACCTGCATCTATTCATCTATTTGTCCATTTATCTGTCTGTCTGTCTGCCTGTCTATCCTCTCTCTGATTTTTAAAGCGAAGTGCCATGTATAAGAGCAAACACGTGGTATCTGTCTTTCTGACTCTGGCTTATTTCACTTAACATGATTTCCATTTGCATTCATTTGTCATTTCATTTTTCTTTACAGCTGCATAAAACTCCATTGATAAAAACCATTTATTTAAGAGTGTCATTTCCTCCTAGAGTGATTTTGGCACCTTTTTCCAAAATCATTTGACCATGTATGCATACCTCTATTTCTGGGCTCCACGTTCTGTCCTCTTGGTCTGTGTGTCTGTTTCTGCTATTATGACAGTGTTTTGATTGCTATAGCTGGGTATGTAGTAAATTTTAAAATCAGGAAATCTAAAACCTCCATGTCTGTACTTTGATTTTTCAAGATTGCTTTAGCTATTTTAGGATGATAGCTTTGTTTGTTTTTCTTCTTGAGAGAGAGTCTCAATATGTAGTGTAGGCTAGCCTCAAACTGGCAGTTTTCTTGTCTCTTTACCAAGTGCAGGGATTGTGGATTTCTTTATCACCCAGAATGCCATTTCTCTTGGTGAACATTCTGTGCACATTTGGGAGAGCAGACATTCTGTTGTTGAGTGGGATTTCTGTCAGGTTAATTAGGTCACCTTGGTTCATGGTATGTTAAAGTGATGTTTAAATCTCTGATTTTTGTATTTATTCATTTCTTCTGCAATTCGAGTGGGTTTTTGCATCATGTATTTTGAAGTTCTATTAGGGGCATAAACTTTAGGAATGTTCTGTCTTGATATGTTACTCCTTTATCATTATGAAATGACATTCTTTTTTTAATTTATTGAGAATTTCATACATGCATATGAGGTGTTTTGATCAAATCCATGCCCACTCTCTCCCCTCAAGCTCCTCCCATATCTCCCCATCACTTTTTTCTGACAACTTCATATATTCTTTTTGTTTTTTTTTTTTAATGGGGCTTTTTGCTACTCCAACATTTCCCCCTCTGAAGAGGTAACCCTAAAGTCTTTTAGGGATCAGATAAAAGCTCCCAAATACTTTTGACATTTTTGGCCTTTGGAACAGAGTATGTTGCTAAGAGGCCGAAGGACATCTTGACTTTTAGCCAAGAAACTGGCTACTTTTCTTTGGAGTCTTTTTACCTTGCCTAGCCAGTTCCTACCTCCTGTTCTTATCATGCCATCCTCTGAAGAGGTTTGTAGGTTTGTTATGATATATAAAAGATGAGACAACAATAATATACATATAATCTTAAAATTTCTAAGGTCATATTTTAGGCAACTAGTTTAAGGAACAAAATATATGTCTAGTCAGGAGTCATGAAATGGCATTCTTTAGCTTTTATGATATTCTTTGCTTTGAAATTTTTTTTCCATTGTCGTCACTTAAAGTAGAGCTACTCCAACTTTAAAATTCCTTTTTAAATTTTAAAAATGTCTCTGAAAATTCGAGTGTCTTAAGTTGCCTTGTATTTGATGTGTTTTTTAAAATTATTTAATAACCACATGATTAGAAGAAGCATTTCATTATAGCACTAACATATTCAATAACAATTTCCAGAGCAAAGCTACATCTCTTTCAAAATTGGCTGTAAATTTTTAGGTTCACAGCTGAATTAATACAGTTATACAATATTGAACTCAGTATAAACTCTATAAGGCATAAAAGTGAATGAGGTTTTAACCTTTAAATAACATCTCCTTTTCATTTTAGTATATACTATTTCATACAGAAAAACTCATTTTTAATGCTACTAACACTTAGATGTTTGCACATGCGTCTCTAATCTCTGTGTATCTGATTATTACTAGTCACAGTCAGTTACTTTCTGAGCTCCTTGGCACCTGAGCATGGATATAAAGTCATCAGGTAGATTTCAATGGTAATGTTTTTCACCTCTACTAATTAACATGAAGCAAATTTTTGTGCTTCTTCCTCAAATATAACTCATTTTATTTATTGATTTTTTTTGTGTGTATTTCATATAGAACATCCCAAACAATGTTATTCATCTATATACCCACATCCCAAATGGCACCCTCCCATACTGCCCCTCCCCCGGAACCCATATACACTGTCA